CATTACACACATCAGAGGCAACTGGAGTCAATTGCCTTGCTTAGTGTTAATCAGCTCTGCCTTTGTTTTAATTGTTCTTGAATGATCAAATGGGAATCAGTGTGGAGGCATTATCAGGACTGCGAGAGGAGCTGCTGTCTTTCCGTCTCAGGTCTTTAGTGAAGAGAATATTTTAATCCAGCCTGACAAGACGAGGATCTGCTTAATCCTATTACAGGCTTGACAATAAACTACAGTAGGCCCACACTTCTCTGCCTGCTGTCTTTGTGTGAGAAAGAAGCAGATGGTGCCAGCTCAAGACCCTACTGTAGTGAACTTTGAATGGTTGGCCTTGGACCCCACCCCGTTACTAAACAACACACCCACAAGTGTGGAGAATGCTCCAGGAAACAACTTGTTGTCGTGGTACTTTCTTCTTTGAAATCTTACTCCCATCATCCTTAAAGTGTGTGATTCTTTTTAGATATTTGTAAGTGTGTTTATGTGTCAGAGTTACGGTGTCAAGAAACAGACAGATCCTGCCAGTTGTACTGTAGAACTGTGCCAAAGTCAGTGGAAACTGCACACTTATCTGAGATACAGAAAACAATAGTTTGAGGAAAGAAATATTCTTGGACCCAACACACTTACAAGAGAACTCAAGTGAAGTAGGACTGGGTGATATAAACAGGAGAAACCAATAGCCTACCTCTTAAATGTCAAAAACCGTTAAAACCAAGGCAACAAGATACAAGTGGTGTGATACTTTGACTACGTAAAGCCCAGTTTCACACTGGATCAGAGAGTACTAAAGGGGGCTACGCTACAAAAGACATTAAACAGATAAGTGATGTGTATAGTGTTAACTAAGCCAAAAATCTGTGCCAACAAATACCACACACTACATTTATCACCTGAACCACCACCATCCAGTAAAGTGTGCAGGGAGCAAGCGCCTTCATGCTCAAACACCAGCAATTAGAGAGAAACACGTCTGGAACAAACTAGAACGTTAGCATCTTGTTTCTGTTTTTGCTCTTGCTACTAATATTTTAATAATAAATTAAGTTCATTGCTAAGTTTGTAGTAGGATATGGACAGTGCGGACCATTGCCAGAGGTCAGAATACAATCTAGTCTATTTCACATTTGAAAGAGCAGAGAGGAAAAACTTAATCTCTGAACAGCCGTATGGGCTGCCAAATCAGCCAGCTCAAAGGTGAAGCTTTAAATTCAGCATGGAGCTCCAGGCCTCCAGACTAACTTTTTCCACTAGCAGCACTGGTGCTCCCAAAATTTAAGTGATACCGATACCAATAAAGTACTTCATTCAATACCTTGCAATTTTTGTTGTTGTTATGGACAAGGAACGAGATCTATTTCTTTTTTCAAAAACCTGTTATATAATAATATTGGGAAATTGTATGAGATCGCTCCTCATCCTAATTAGGTCATCCTCAGAGGAAAGACTACAGCTTAGGAGTTTTTTTTGTTTTTTGGGGGGAGGATTTGAATGATAGAGTAGGAGTGAAACAGTTTAGTGATCACATGAGTTGTGGAAAACAAATTTAAGTAAAATTTTTCATACGTTTGTTGAAAGTCAATCACTGAGAATTATGTTGTTAACTTCCGATTAATAAACTGAATTGAAAGATCTCTGCGGGTGCTCCTTTAGTGGTGAGTCGCAAACCTCCTAGTAAACTACTTTAGAGTCTAAAGAAACAAACAGAGGAAAAGAGAATCCATAACCAAACAAAACCATACAAGTCATTTTTTGCCGCAATCTGTTTACAAAAAGTATCGATTGAAGTCCTGGTTTGACTGGAGACATTTCGATACTACTCGATACTGTTACTCAATACCCATCCCTAAATGCAACACCTTCATGTATTTTCCATCCTAAATGCATTACTGATAAACGCTTTGGAAATGAATAGACAATTTACAGAAATACCTTGCTTATCTAATCCCTGCTGTCTTCTGTCTCACGGCTTCAGCTGCAACAGACAAACACACACCAATTCTCGCTGCCTCCTGGTGTTTCACACGGCAAAACGATGATGATTTTAAAAACTAAAAATGGGGTGTGTATTTACAAGTTGCACGATTCGCTTCAAATTATTTTATTTATTTAGTGCCAATTCATAACAGAAGTTATCTCACAGCACTTTTGCTCCTAGTACAACATTTTGTAACACTGTCGATTAAATGCGACTAAATGGTTGCAGTCTGAAGTTTGAATTAAATGTTTATTGTGATGAATTAATGATGATGGGAAGAATTAGGTTACAATGGCTTTGTTATCAAATTGGTCTACATTAGAAAGTGATTTGGTCTTGTAGACTAGGAGAAAGTTTGTCAGTGTGCTCTACATCTGTCACTCAGAGAGAGCTTTAAATTACAAAGGCAGATTTTACTTGGCCCACATCTCTTCAGTTCCTTCTCCATGCTCCCTCCACCGCAGAGCGTCTGTCCCCTCAGAGCCTTGGCTAAGTTAGGGTTAGGGTTCATATTGGCCTTCCCACAGTGAGCAGCTTTTAACCTCCTGCCAGCTTCATCAATCTCAGGCTGGTGTGATCGCTGCTGAAAGGGGCGGGGATTAAGGACAGCCTGTGGCCTGTAAATCAGACGAGCTTGAGGGGGGCCCCTCTCATGTGCACCATATAGGTCCAATAGGCACCATACCCTATGACTTCAATATAGACATCCACACTCACAGCGGACCTCCCTCAACCAGATGGCCGAGCTGGTTCTCAATAAATGTTTAACGAGGGGAGAACAAATTAAATCAGAAGGCAAATGATCAAGCACAGTGTGAACAAAGTGTAATCCATCTAAGGTGGTGTTAGGTTGGTAAAGATTTTGGCCAGCACAATAGAACAATGGGAAAACTTGTCTTGTGGGTATTATAACCCCCCTCCCACTCCTCTTAACCAGGCCAATCTTACAAACACAAAGGAAAAGCCAATTAGCTCAAGGCCCTTACTTTTTGATTTTAATCTGTGTTTAGCAACATAAATCAATGTGCCGGGAAAAGACTGAAACAAAGGGGCCTAAGGCATTTTTCTGGATTACTTATTACTCTTAGTCACCAATCTTCAGTTGGAAATAAAGTCAATAGGCCTGAATTGTGATTGAGTGGGGTGGGTGCATATTATGTATAGCAAACTCAGTCTCAAAACCTGTTAGTGATGCTGTAGGTGAGTGGGGGCAGGGGTCACAAGTTGGGTCAGAAAGCCAGTATTGAGTCTCAGACAGAGTTAATACCATTACCATGAAGTATGGTTAAAAGGTTCAGAGTGCAAACAGACCCGCACCCAATGAATGAAATCGATTCTTTTGTTCCCTGGTCAATTATTCAATTACATCTCTTGAACAAGAGTTTGACCTCAGTGTTTTCTATTGGATTTGTTAAAGTGGAGTTAATGTTTTCCCTTATTTTCTGTCATATATTTAATGTTACAGTGTTTGATGTTCAAATTAAACGTGACCAAAGTGTCAGATAATGAGGTAAACATTATGCGTTTTACGTGTTATCAGAGTTGTGTGTTTTTGTACAGTAATCAGTGAATCAGCCCAGTGCTCAGAAACAGTCCAGCGCTGTCTATCATTTTTCCAACTTAATTCTCGTCACATTGTTCATTGCCATTGTATAGCTAAGTTACCGTAGCGGCCAGATGCTGTCGAGCGCGCTGGCAAGAGGAGAAGGCGGTGCCATGTTTGTTTTCTTTGGATTTTTTGAACTGCGAATCATGCAAAAGCTACTCTAGTGGAATCCCAGAATAAAATGATCTAGCTACAAATGAGCATAATAGGTCCCCTTTAAGACAGCAAGAAATAGCCAGAGCTGGAATCTAGCATTGTTCAGTGTGATCCTCATTGCATGTTAAACCACTTCTGTTTTACATGAACACCAGCAGACTCCCTGTAGAGCAACAGCCTTATGATTACACATTTCTCTTAAACTCTAATGTTTTGCTGGTATTTCTCTTTCTGTTATGGTGCGTGTTAGTTCAGCTAATTAGTCCAGCATGACCTACCGAGCTGGGTGACAGCCAACACGAGGAAGGCTAATGAACTGACACTCCAGAGGGTTTACAAAGCACTGCTACAGACACTAAAATTCCCATACTTTGCTCATTTTCATCCTCCTGCACTCTGGACTGATCATGTGCTCATTATAGTCCAGACTCTGCTATTTATGCCTAATGGGACTTTCAGACACACCACAACGATTATTATTATTATGCCATTATTTTCAATGGCTTGCACCGCGCCAGGGCGGCTTGCTGCTGCGTGGAGCACAGCGCAGCGCACCGTCGGCCGGGCGAGCGTTCACGCTGCGGTCAGTAGTTGAACTGCGCTGAACCAGCAGCAAAAGCAGCACAAATTGCTTCCTATCTGAAAGGGCCTTAACAACCCCTTAGGCAGCAACATTTGCTACAATATTAGATAAACGTGTAGCTGCATTGTTAATCTCTTTGCGTCATTGTTATCACAAACATGCAGGCACAGATCAGAACAGCGCAGTGATTAAATCGGCTGAACAGTATCTGGTAATTTGGTATTCTTATTTGATTCTTATTCTCATTCTTTGCTTAGTTTTAGAATAAATGCTTTGCTTTCAGTAATTCTGAACATCTGCCATTCATTAATACATTCACAGGCTCCTTCATTTGTTTATTTTTATAATTATATATTTCCTGTGTCGCATGAAAAATACACTTTCTACTGCACACTTTCACAGACATCAAACTACAAAACAATTTGAGTCCCAGGGGAAGGGGATGATAGGAGGCTTTAATGTGAATATTCCTTTGTCACAGCAAAATTTGAACTAGTGCAGAACAGAGTCCCTGTTGATGCAAATGAAAATGTGTGTTGTGCCTGGTTATGCCTGGCTGAGCAGAGAGCAGTCGGGCTCCCAGTCACGGGGGATTTGTTATGTTTGGGGTTTGCCTTTCTGTCTGCCAGCGCGTGGGTGGATTCATGGGGCCTTCTCTGTCTGTGCTGCTTTCACAGGTACGGCATCTTCAGCGTGCCAGAGAAATGAACTGAGAAGGTAGGGGAGAGCACTTTGTTTCTTGAGGACATCGAAGATTTACGGTGAAACCATGAGGTTGCAGAGGAGCCTGGGATTTGTCGCCGTGCTGGGCGCGATCACCTGTATTTGTGCCTTTCATGTGACTACAGCAATTGACATCCCCCTGGAAGGTGAGTACTGATTTGTACAATGCAAGAGAGTACACATTTGTTTTATTGCTGCTGCTATAGATAAAGGGGCGGTTCACTCAAATTACAAAGTGACTTAATGACACAAACTGACCACTGCTCAGTATAGCAAGAGCAGCCATATTGAGCTGGTAGCCAGAGCTAACCAACCATGTGCAGCTGCTGTCAGTCACTCTGTCCACGCTGGAGCCGTGACACTTATTAGAAAGCATTCATGGCCTTTTGAAAAGGTTTCTGTTGTAGCTGAGCTAGTGATTTAGGGAGGCAGAGATTATTTACCGGCCTCCTGGCCAGCCAATATTTACCCATATTTTAATCTTAAAAGTAAATTTTGGACACAATTTTGTTAAATATCCAGAGAACCAGGGACATTGTTTTTGCTGTTGAGTTTTTCAGTGTAAACTGTGAAGGCTGTTAGCACCACAAACAAAATTCCATTCACTTCCATTATGTTACAGTGGAGGCATAAATCTCAGAGCATGATATCACAAAATCTGAGTAAATAAAACCAAAACCATCTGGATAGATGGAGTTATGCTTTTAGATGTATGTGAAAAAATCAGTTTCTTTTCAAAACCATCTGGATAGATGGAGTTATGCTTTTAGATGTATGTGAAAAAATCAGTTTCTTTTCATGATTCTAGACAAGTTTAACCCTCAAACAATGCATGCTGGGATGTTTGATAATATGCTGATCTTGTTTGTTAAGAAACCAAATTAGACTAGTTCAGTGAACAGAAAACAGCACATTAATTCAAATCATCATTTCCAGTGACTCAAGTCAGAAGACCTCATGTTTCTAGGTTCTGAAATGGCTATGAAAATGAAAACTAGCTATTTTAACCTGAAAGTACTAAAATGTTTGCATTTATATAAAGATAAATTGATGTTTTGCAGTTTAAAAATCAGCATGAATCAGCTGGATTTTGACATAATTGACACTTGGCACTTATTAATTTCCCATTATAAGCTATTTCAAGACAGTTGTTGATGAAGCAAAACAAGGAAATGTTACATATAAAGAGTCTTCTAATTGTTGATGAGCATCTGCAGAGAACTTGTCCTTGGTTTACCTTGAGGTGCTTTTATAGTGTGATTAATTCAGATGCTAATATATCATAGCACAGAGAACCGTTACAGTCTAGCATTCTGTGAATGGAATATATTTACAGCTATTATCTTGTTTGAGTCAGGTTTCTTGTTTCTTTTGAGTTAGATATGCGTGTATCCCAGTTTCCTTGGAAACGCATATCAAACCTCTCCCTCTAAATTATTCAGAAATATCTCTTAAGGGCTTGATAAAGAACAGTTCAAGGCAAAAGCATTTTTGGACTGATGTCAGAATATCGTTTTAATGCAGTCTTTTGCTTGGCATTACTCTTGTGTGTTTATAAGGGTTTATATAGAGAATGCTTGTGACATGAAGGGATTATTCCCTAACTGCTGACTGTTTTTGTTTTGTTTATTTCCCCCCGGCTGCCATGGATTTTGTAGTTTTGGGTCATGTAAACAGTAAGTTCACTCTGCCATACTGTAGCTAGTATTAGTGACATCCTCGGCTCTCATCTGTTAAGCTCCTGGCTCGCAGTTGAGCACAGCAGCAGCTTTACTTACAGCCATATGTGTTGGATCTAAATCTCATGTGTCATCAGGCATGCCTCCATAATGCTGGTATTCTAGCTTCTAGGACTCATGGCATGTCCTCATTTTCCTTTGCAATTAGTCACTCAGTACAACTAACACTCATTGTGTTGTGTTTTTCATTTCAAGGCCAAATGAGACCAAGGCCAAATTTTCTGGCAGAATAAAAGCAATCTAACAAAATGACTCACTCTATATCATACATCACAACTCTACATAATACATGAAAATGCCGCACACTGATATGTCTTTACTGCATTTATTGTGAGCAACTTTCGCCCATTGCTTCTTCAGGCTCACGTAGTGAAAAGCTCGTTGCCTGAAGAAGCGCGATGCTCACAATAAATGCAGTAAAGTCATATCAGTGTGCGGTAGCTTGTTTTTGATTTTTCATAGTCTTATCCTGCTATCTACTAGCACCTGACTGTTGTTGCTGTGCATGGGGAATTTCTTGGTTTACATAATACATGTTTGAGTAAAGTTTTGCCAATATTTTCTGTTGAATAATGTGAGAAATAAAAACTACTTGTGAGTTGAACAGGTACACTACTGCGCAAAAGTGTCATTAGCACCTGTTTGGTATAATTGTTGAACCATACATAACAATATGACTACAAAATCCCTGACAAGGGTACCTAGGAGAATGAATGCTCTTATGAAGATAAAGGGTGGTCACCCCAGATATTGATTTGATTTAACTTTCTTTCTGTTCACTTACTTTGGAAGCTTTTTTTTGAAAGCTTTCTTACTTTACAGCATTTTTCCACACTAAATTTTTGCACAGTCCCTCACTAAGGCCATATAACCTGTGATGAGGGGTCAGAAGTAGACTTTGCTTTGTTTGAAGGAGTCACAATCCACAATGGTTGGGATCCACTGCCTTAGAATCATGTTTCAGATGTGAAACTTCTGAATGGAGCTCTGTATTAGGCCTGTGTTGTGTTTCTCACATTCTCACGCTTGTTTGTTTGTTGCCCAGTTGAGCAGCTGCCCACCATCACAGCGCAGTCGCCCAGCTCTCTCATCGCCTTGCCTTTTGATGAGAGCTTCCCCATGACGTGTGAAGCCAAAGGGAACCCCGAGCCAGAGTGAGTACCGAGCCTTGCGTTGCTTCAGATGGGAGGAGGGGAAACTTGTTAGCAGCCAGACAGACATCAATAACAACAACAACAACAACAATTTGCCATCAACATGGGGTGCTTTGGTTTAGAACTTTGGAAGATGAGCATGCTGCGGTCTTAGCTGAAGGACTTGACATTTTAATACTGGCTTTCTTTATGTAGATTCAGATGGACGAAGAATGGCCAGGAATTCGACCCCTTTCTAGACCCCCGGCTGATGAAAGAGGAGAATTCTGGGACCTTTGTGATACCCAATAATGGGAACCTTACAGAGTACCAGGGAACCTATCGCTGTTACGCCTCAAACAAAATGGGCACCGCCATATCGAAGGAGATTGAGTTCATTGTGCCCCGTGAGTAACGTACATCTGTGTGTGTGGGGTGCTCTGTTACATTGCTTTCAAAGTGATTCAGGGCCAGCAGTCCTGTGTAATGACTGCACCTCTCCATTGTGAGCTTTTCATTGTATTGGTCGTGGCAGAAAGTCATTGAGACTCCCGAATGCTCCACCTCTCGCAGCATCTCATGTATAGGTCTGTATTGGAAAATGCATCGAATGTGATCCTGCCTCTCCATCATTTCCTTCTCTACATTGTTCATTTTGTTCCCAAGCACTGTAAAAAGAAAATCCACTCCATCTGGGACTTCGACTGTATTTGGCTAGGCTTCAACCACTCAGCAGTCGTGACAAGCCACAGACAATAGTAGTAGTGATGTCTGTTTTGTTATTGCAGGCCAAGAACTGGGGAAAAAAGCTCATAGAATTCAATCAGAGCTCAGAAAACACATGCTGTGCCTCCCACTAAATTCATGAATGACATTACTGCCATCTTCTGGAGAGGAAGAGAACTGCATAATGTGTTGTATTCATTCATGTCTGGCTTCATTTACTCACTGTAGGTTCTGACTTGTTTCTAGATGTTCCAAAGTTTCCTAAAGAGACACTTGAGCCTGTTGTGGTGGAGGAAGGCCAAGCTTTTACTTTAAAATGTGACCCACCTAAAGGAATCCCTCCTCTGCAGATCTACTGGATGACTATCAGTAAGTGATGCCTCCTAATTTAGTACAAATTTAAACATATTTTAACGATATATCGTTAAATTGTTTAGACCCACAGAACTCAGTTGTAGCAACCACTAAATATGTCTGGATTCTGTGGAAATGCGGATAACATAACAAGTCTTTGAATATTTTTACTCTTAAACATCTTACAGCTTTAATGAACAAACTAAAATATAATGTATATATGATACAGTGTGGAATAGGTTTTTTTCCAAATGCCAAAAGCCGGCAGTGGTGGAAGAAGCATTTAGATATTATACTTAAATAAAAGTAAGAGCATAACAAAACTCCATTACAACTAAGTCCTTCATTAAAAATCTTACTTAAAGTACAGGTGTATTACCAGCAAAGTGTACATAAAGTATCAAAGTAAAAGTACCCTTTCTGCTAAAAAATGTCCCCTGTGTCAACGATTAGTCGATTCAGTGATTAGTTGTTAACAATTAAATTAATAGCCAACTATTTTCATAATTGATTAATCGTTTTGAGTAATTTTTTTTCAGAAAATAAGTTTAAAAATTCTGATGCCAGCTTCTTAAATGTGAATATTTTCTGGTTTCTCTGCTTCTTTATGACAATAAACTGAATATCTTTGGGTTATGGACAAAACAAGACATTTGAGTGACGTCATCTCGGACTGATCTACATTTTTCATCATTTTCTGACATTTTCTGGACCAGACAACTAATAGATTAATTGAGAAAATATATAGTTTTAGTTTTAGTATAGTTTTAAGTTTTACCTTTTTATATACACAGAGATAGTGTAGTCCAGTGATTTCCAACCTTGTGATCCACAAGATGAAACGTAAGTGCCGTGAGATCATTAATGGGGTATGAAAGAAAACAACAACTATATCAAAGCTACACCAAATTAATTTTGTTAGGATTTTTCTTTGCCTTTTTCTTTATTGGATCATTTGACTTTTTTGTTCAACTGTTATTTAAGTGAAACTACCATATATTACAAGTGTGGATGGGGAAAACATTGTTGGATTTGTGAACCATGTGACAAAGGGCTCAAAGTAGACACTATTTTAACATTTAAAGGCCAAGACTAATAACTTAGCTATTAATATAACTATTGTGGCGTTAAAAAGAAGGTCAGATATTTTAGACTATCGTAAAATGATCCCCTTCTGTGCACAGATCTTCAGCACATAGAACAGGATGAGAGGGTGTCTATGGGCCTGAACGGAGACCTTTACTTCTCTCATGCGGAGGAGAAGGACAGCAGGAGAGACTACTGCTGCTTTGCCGCCTTCCCAAGAATACGGACCATCGTTCAGAAGACTGCTATGTCTGTCATCGTCAAGACGAGTAGGTGTCTCTCCAGCCTCTTTGCTTTCACTCAAGTGCTGTTTTCCTCTCAAGTCAGCATGATGCAAACTTTGAAATGTTTTCAGAGCGCTCATCTCTTCCAATGAATGTTCATTGATGTCCACATTCATAGCTACACTTCAAACGCCATCCAAGTGTCACGCTGTCTTGTTTACGTGCATCTCCTTGGTTTTGAGTTGTGGTTTTGATCTTGGTGATGTTTGCCATGATGTTTCCACGCTGTCCTCATGTTCATTGTGTTTTTGAGTTTTTTTCTCTCATCCATCTCCATTTCAGAAAAAAGTGACATGAGTCCTGAAACTGGTAAGTTTGAAGTTTTAAGAGTAAAACACCCTTGTGCTATGCATTATCTATAAATCGCAGTGTGCGCAAGGCAGGTGTGTGAATATAAATGTATAAAAAATACATACAATAGCCTTTGGGAAACTAGGTTAGATGTCGTAATGTCTAATTCTCTGCTGTTCTTCCATAGCTAATGCAATCCTTGAGAGAAGACCTGCTCTTCTGACTCCCTCTGGTGACAGATCAGAGACACAGCTGGTCAAAGGAGAGGACTTGAAATTGGAGTGTATTGCTGAGGGATTGTAAGTAATGCTGCACTTCTAATACCTTGAGTTTCTTTCACAATTCAGGATTGTTTTGTCCAAAAACAAACCAAATCTGACGTGAATGTAAAACTGACTGGCTTTAAAAAATTGATTTCATCTATATATTCACTCTTTTTCCCCTTTCTGTTAGTCCAACTCCGCAGGTTGAGTGGGTGAAGATGGGCCATCAACTTCCCATTAGAGCAAAGCTGGAGAATCATGGGAAATTGCTGATTGTGCCAGTAGTTGAACAGGAAGACAGCGGGAAGTACATGTGCAAGGCAAAAAACACACTTGGAGAAGCTGTACATTACTTCACAGTGACAGTAGAAGGTAACTCCAGCGTGCTGTGAAGTTACTTATTTGAGATCATTTAAGTTGTCATTTCAATGATAGACAGATCCTTCACTTATAAAAATGTGTAGATCAGAATTAGTAGCTCTATAAACGAGTAAGATTAAGTTCACTGATGAAAGAAGTACGTAGATCCTATCCTAGTATTATCAGCTAAATGTACTTAAAGAAACTATTTAAAGTACTCATTCTGCACAGAAATGCCACAGTCTATCTGTCTTGGGTAGTCCATTAAATGTAGCTTTCATTCCGGCAGGACTCTTGAATTGAATAAAATATATTGCATAGCTGTGATTGTGTCCACTCTGTGTATGCTGAGAGTAGTTCTTAGAATGACACGCATCAGTTTGATTATACCATGCTGACTGTGTCTTCCCAGAGCCTCCAGAGTGGGTGTCTGAGCCTGAGAGTCAGCTCAGTATGATTGGCTCGGATGTGCTCATCAGGTGCTCTGCCAGCGGGACTCCTCAGCCGACTATAACATGGAGTGTGAACGGGATACCTCTGCACGGTCAGTCGCACAGCAGACTCACTTCACTATTTAAAATCTTCCTTCTGAGACCCAGCCCTGACGGCTGGACTATTTCAAATGAACAAGAAGGCTAAATGTTGTTTAGCCTTGCATTTCTTGTCTTTTTTAAAATATATATAATATATTACATAGCATATAACATGGGGAGAGAGTGTAGATTTTGTGGTCAAATTATGAAAGGAAAATTACTTTTAGCATGTTTTATTAAAGACAAAGTTGAAAGTCTGTTTATAGGTCTTGAGGAGTACTACTGCATATTTAAAAAGAGTTGTATAAAACCATTTGTGGCTCCAGAGGGAGTCAGTGTCGGCTAGGGCTAAGTTTAAAAATAAAATAAAAATATGTGGGTGTGAAGTTAGAAAGAAGTGAGCTTGGCGGACCTTTGTAGTCCGCCTCTCATTTCTGGTGGAGGCTGCATTGGCTACTACTAGCATAACACACCCGAATCCCTGACCAAACTGTCAGTGCTTGAGTTGCATTGTGGGTAAAATAGGCGTCAGCTTTTGACAAAGAAGAAGAATGCGTGGAATAAAAATGATGTTATCTTTTGTCCTGCTGCAAAGATTTAGATCTTTTTTATTAAAACTATCCATCGCGAGTCTGACAGTGCTATAGTAGTGCAGAGCAAAATCTGAGGAGTACTCTTTGATATGGAGTAATAGCCTCAGCACTAAGGTTGAAACGTTTCAGACTGTGAGAGGGGATGAAATATAGTTTACAGTATAGCAGACAACTTAGAACTGCAACGTTCGATTCGGACGCTGTAGGTGGACCGTTAACCAACCAAGATAAATAATCAATTTAGATTGTTGTGAATTCAAAATGTTATTACAAACTGTCGGGGGAGAACTGAAGAGACAGGATGATCAGGAGGGAGGCTGGGAAATAGCCAGGTTGATGCAGGGAATGGGGTGGCAGTAGACCAGCAGTTTCCAATCCACATGCAGTGTTGCAGCATGAATGGTAATGATCTAAAACCTTTGTGTTTACTGAATGTATCTTTGGTCTGTTACAGGGGCCCCTGCAGCCAACAGGAAGGTGTTAGGTGATACCATTGTTTTACAAAAGGCTAAAGCCAGTGACAGTGCAGTCTATCAGTGCGAGGCTTCCAACAGACATGGAACCCTTCTGTCCAATGCAAACATCATGATTATGAGTAAGTACAACAGTTTTTAGTTCTGTGAGCCACTGTTTTCATCAGTTCAGTTCCACCATCACGTTTTTATCAAGCGCATGCTACAAACACAAACTCAGAAAAAAGGGTTTGTGAGTAAGTGTGAGACCTTGCACTGAGTCACTGGGATACTGCTGACTGATGTGTCAAGCTAGAGAACTGGCACTGATGTTGCCATGTGTCCATAAAGCACTGAGGAGCACAGGGAAGGAGGGCTGTCTACAAGCTGTACTCCTTCATTCTGGCTAGTGGTTCTCCCTGTGGAGCAACAAGCCCGGTTCCCTGCTATTTGTATGCTAACAAGTTCTCCCTCAATTCCATACTGATTCCAGGGCCATAAGACAAACATGTGGAGGTTTTACAAGTGCAGATAAAAAATGAAAAGACAGAACGTTGCTTTTCTGTTGCTCTGCACAAGCGTGGGAAGTTTGTGTCTCTGTGACACAGGAGTTAATACAGCTGGACAGTCTCTGAATGTTAAGTCCCAGCTGCTGTCTTTGTAAACAATTAGGAGAGACAGGCCATTTTAATGGGAGGCTTTGGCTACAACTGATAAGGTGCACACGCTCGGCTCACTCATTATTCTATTGTTGTCTTCTTTGATTTAATTTTCACATTGCCACATTTCTGACAGCCTGACAGCTGGATCATTTTTTGACACAAAGGAGCCTACAATTAACGCACAGGGAAGGCAACAGTGTTGTCGCCTCATTTAACTGAATGCCTCATTCCTTCCTTTTTTGTCTGGTTTTAAAACTGCTAAACTGCAAACCCTATATTGCTCAGTGGTGTTTTTACTGCCTAAAAGTCCTAAAAGTACAGTAGTTAAGGGCCACACCTAGGTACATCCATGGTGGAATATCCGTATAAGGGCATCCTCTGCTTTTCTATCAGTTGTATATTGATGATAAGTGTCTGCTGCATGGTCTTTACAGATCTGGCCCCCATGATTTTGACCAAGGAGGGGGAGGATTACTCTGCTGTAGAAGGGAAGGGAGTGATGATGCACTGCAAGGTCTTCAGCTCTCCTCCTTCTACAATCACTTGGTAAGTGTGCAGTTTGTTCCTGTCTCCCATACACCAGCAGAGAGCAGTAGATCTCAACTGGTTGATGCAAAGAGTCCTTCTGTATGCAGCGTGTTTCTTTATTGGTAACCCGTTTCTTTAAAACACGCCAAAGTAAGACTGTTGTTCTGTTCAGCAACTTTTAGCTCTTCTTTTCTGCCACAGTGCAGTGTTTATCCATTTAAACTGCTGCTGTGATCATATTTTGTTTGACCTGAGACGACTTTTAGACTTTGGCGTTTGTTCTGAATGTTTTCCAGGAGCAAAGACGACTCCTCTAAATCCATAGAGGGACCGAGGTTTACCGTTCACGATAATGGCTCGCTGGAGATCTACAGCGTAGAGAAAGACAACATTGGGCAGTACACATGTTTAGCGAAAAACACAGAGGGATCGTCTGCCATCGAAGCCATGCTCTATGTGAATGGTAAACAGTTTTACCTGTGTTTGCAGTGGCAGTCAGTCCTTGAAATTTGACTAATACGGTTGTTTCCATTGAAGATCCCACAAGAATAGTGGTGGCCCCGGAGGACCTGCAGGTCCTAATAGGTACCACAGCCCAGCTCTCATGCCTTGCAGAGTACGACAAGTCCTTCAGCAACGACTTTGAGCTCCTATGGGAAAAAGATGATATGGAGATAGCCCTCAATGACACTGAGAATTCAAGGTAGGATACTGATTTTTTTTTTTTTTTTTTTTTACAGCATTGCAGACTTTATTCCAGCTGGAAAGTCATTTTACTTTTCAGTTTCATCAATCAATATTGTGTCTCCATCTTCCTGTCAACAGATACTTTGTGGAGGATGGTATTCTTCAGATTATCAATGTAAGCCACAGGGACCAGGGTGTGTACACATGTGTGGCAAGAACTCCAGTGGACCAACACACGGCCTCCGCGCTGCTCATGGTGTTAGGTGAGCTAACAAATGAACAATATTTCTGCTCCAGGCCAAAGGATCAGAGACCCTGAGTGCTGCATTAATGTATGACGCATTTATAAACGGATCAATGTGTCAGGAAGCCAAAGCAGAGCATGAACATGCAGACCATGCCTTTATTAGTGCTGTGCTGTGTCTGACAATCGGCCTTTTGAGATATTGTTGACATCGTAAAGTCTAGAAGAAATAGTGGCAGCCTAAGCAGCGATGCAGGTCGTTCCACATCCTCTGGCTCTCCGGATGATTTGATTAGACAGTTGTTCCCTTATCCTTTTTTGCTGCAGAGATGGATGTGTCTATGATTTTCCAATGCCATGTTATTGTGATGGTTTTCAGATGTCCCTGATGCACCTGAGTTCCTGGCACTGTCTGATCACAAGAGCAGAAGTGTGAATCTGAAATGGGTCCCTGGGGATGAGCACAACAGCTCAACCACAGGTAAAAGGAGCATCTGTGTATACAGGTGTCAGTACATACATTACAGTAAATACTGAATCAGTGTCTCTCGCAGTGAACGGTATTAACATGACATACACACTTTTGGGCATCATTCTGCATGTAAATAGATTTGTTTGATACCATCTTGTACAATATGAATCTATTATTGATTCATCCAAGCATGAATTACTATTATTTGTCTCCCTGAGGAATACACAAGCTCAGAGCAGGGTTTGAGGAGTTTGCTGCACAGCTGGTGGTTAGATAAGCATTCCTTTGGCATGAATCATAGCAGTGAGGGGCCGCTCTGATTGTCTTTCTGCCTGTCAACAGAGTTTATTATCGAGTATGAGGAAAGCCAGTGGGAGCCGGGAAACTGGAAGGAGCTGCTCCGAGTACCTGGGAACCACAACTCGGCCGTCCTGAAGCTCCATGGTCACGTTGACTATCGCTTCCGTGTGTCTGGTGTCAATACTGTGGGGAGGGGTCCTCCCAGCGAGCCCACAGAGAGATACAAAACCCCACCAGCAGGTTTGAGGCATCCTCCTTTCATTGTTTATGATACTTTTTGATAAGGTCCTCCAGGCTGCCAACGCTGCTGCTCTGTGAACTATAAAATACTCAGACCTGCTACATAATTGATTCCATTTTTGTTGAAAATCTGCTCTCTTGTGTGCCTATTTCACCAGAGGTTTCTTCCACTAACAATGTCGACAAAATCTATATTCCTTCTTTTCTACAGCCCCTGACAAGAACCCTGAAAATATCAAAATCGAAGGTCATTTTCCACATGAAATGGATATCAACTGGGCGGTAAGAAAAAAAGTTTGGTCTTTTATTATCCTCTTACTGTAAAAATTCTGTAATGTTGGCTACCTTTACATAGTGAATTATTCCCATCTGCTTCAGTTTGGAAGTCAAAAGATTATTTTTAAGAGAACATACAAAAATTGTATAAATGATTCATATGCAATTACCAATAGGAATATAGAAATGGCCCACTTTTGATATTTCATTATATGGTTCAGATCTTTAGAAAGCCATTTTCTGGGATCACTTGGAATGAGTGTCCATTGAAAGCTGCTCCTTTACTTTGATTAGAAAGAGCAAGGAGAGCTATGACAAAAAACACTTTCTTCTAACTCATACAGTAATATATTCAGCTTTATTGTAGAAAGATAAATCTCTTCTTCACTCATTATCTGGTTGCCCTGTCATGGTAACGTAGCCCAGAATCCTGGATTCATGAGCTCCCATACCGTTAATGATTTGCTTTTGTGGATAATGGTATCTCATTCTATTTCTCATGGTCCAATGTCTGAGGAGATAAATCTTTTCATCTATGATGTCTTAGAAAGCCCTATATCAAAGAAGAGCCATGCTGCTAGACCAGGTCAATTGTTCCATTGTTTTATTAGATAGCAGGATAAAACACTGCCAGTTTTCCAAGCACAGTTCACTGGGCTAGCTTGTCATTTTAATCCCACAAAAGCAGTGACATTGAGTGGTGAAATACAAGAAGTGTCTTATGCAACTGTGAAAGTCTGAAACCCTTTGCGCCATTGTTATTCCCTTTTATTTTTTCTTTCTTTTCCTTATATTATTCAGCCCTTGTTACCCATTGAGCATAATGGCCCAGGTCTGGAGTATAAAGTAAGTTACAGGAGACAGGATGTGGAGGACAGCTGGAAGGAACACATGGTGAAAAGACACTCATTTGTGGTGAAGAACACTCCTACCTTCGTGCCCTATGAGATCAAGATCCAAGCCAGGAACCATCAGGGCTGGGCCCCCGAACCCAAGATAGTCACTGGCTACTCAGGGGAGGACTGTGAGTAGTGAACTTTGATGACCTGATGTGATTTTATGTAAAGTTAGAACAACAGTTACACAAAAACTTCATGTTAACCATGAAACAGTCACAACAATAAAACCTCATTGAAAAACACATCAGTACCTGTACATTACTGTACACTATCTGGGACAACATTTTTTGAAAATGGTCCAGTATTGAGCGAGTGTGCTGCAGTTGGCAGCAGAACAACAGAGCTGCAATATAACCCTGGACGGGCCTCGTCAAAGTACGTCCAATAAAGAGCTTGTTTTTGCCACTGATAGGCTCAGCTATTCAGCTATCAAATCAAATTAAAATACAAAGTGTTTCCTGGAAAGCAACTGCACCATTGAGTGAAAGCAAGACTGCTGAATATTTGCTCGTCTTTTCTTGTTGCTATTTTCAGGAAATGAGAGTACAGATAGTCCTGGTGGATAAAACTAATTATGCGTCTGGAGTTTACAGACCTAAAAGGGCATGGTTTCTGGGTATTGAAGTTCACAAACTTTCCAGTCAACTCTTACTGGCAAAGTGCTAATATATACCAAAGCTAGCCAGTGTAGCTTTAGCATAATTATGTGAATTTATGCAGAATCCCCCTTTGATATTTTCAGCTGCAGTATTCAGGTGGACTGTGTAAAATTATTTATTTAGAAGCTTTCTAATTTTGTTGAAATATTTTAGACTTAATTAGACTGTTTTAGAGTTTTACTTTCAGTTTCACGCTTACTACTACTGTAGCAGTTACAGCTTCTCAAGATAAAAGCAGTCTGTATAGAAGTTTACTGTATTTCCTGTGTTCAGCTTTCTTCTGGACTTGCCCCGAGGAAGTCACCTCAGGTCATGACTCTTCCCCTTGTTGATAAATTAGCTTTTGTGAGTGTAGGTAGAGTCCACTGATATCAGTCCCTAATAGGTGTTCCTGTAAATAGATGATCACTTAATGTAGCTAATTGTGTATTATTTGTGGTATTTTATGTCCTTTGTTCTTTTGGTCAATTATCTTGTAGTTGTTTACAGGATAACACAAACCCTTTTATTATTGTGGCAAGTCTTTCCACGCTGCTCTGTTTTTCCTTGACTTACTTTGATCTTACTGTAGATTCCAATGTGCATTTGCCTTTGCAGTTCCCTCTGCTGCGCCTGATGATGTAGCTGTGGAGGTGCTGAACAGCACAGTGGTCAAGGTTAGCTGGATGCGTGTACACAAGGACAAGTTACATGGACATCTGGGAGGCTACAGGGTAATACCTCAAAAACAGACCTTTGCTTTTAGACACAGCTTAAAAGGAATGGCCCTGACCTAGCTCTTAACGCTTGCTTCTCTCAGCCCACTCTGTCTCCTTTATTTGACCAGTTCAATGTTTTCCTGCACAGACCACCAGAAAACAAACACAAGAACTCATTCCGTATTCTCTCACACATATACATATGTATGACGTACAAGGTTTGATGTCTTGCAGCTGCTGCTGAGGATGTGTGTGTCTCTTTCCTGATGTAGATAAACTGGTGGCGTCTGCGTAGTCTGACAGACTCAAAAAAAAGCCACGGAGATAAACACACACTAACATTCCCTGGTGACAGGAATCACGCCGCGGTACCGGGACTTACGCCCTTCTCCGAGTACAGCCTCATCGTCATGACCTTTAACGGGCGGGGCAACGGCCCTGGCAGCCATCCCGTCAACTTCAAAACCCCAGAGGGAGGTAGGATTGTGGAAAAACAGCATGGGGTGTATTGATTCACAACTACTGAAGGGAAAAACTAATAATAGCCAAGGAAACTGGGTTGCACAATTCAACTGCTTACTGTGTGTATTACCTTCTTTGCCCCCACAGTCCCCGAAAAAAATCCTGTTTTCAGGGTCACAGATGTACAGAAGCACACTGTCTCTCTGATTGGGCCCCGCCACTGGAGCCTAATGGGATTCTCACCGGGTACCTCCTCGAGTATCAGCTCAGTACGTATCCATATGCTCAATGCTTATACTTAACTTACTCAGAAATAATGGTGATGCCCTTGTTGCCACAAGGATATATAGTTTTATCCTTGTGTTTAACAGTTTTAACATCCTTCTGTTCCTTTTAAGCTTGTATTTTCTTACAAAAAATGAAAATTAAGTATATACCATAACACACAGGCCATATATTTCAAACAGAGACTTCATATCAGAGACCTGAACAGCCTCACTATGTTTAAAAGAAAATTCTCTACCCACATATTCTATGTACCAATGAACATACAGTTGTATGTATGTAGTCGCTTCTTTTACCAAGACACGGTAAATGATCCACAGCAAGAAAAGGAAAATCATTGTGCTGCTTTAATGGGGCCGGAGCCATAATGAGTGTGCATAGGAAACATGTCAGGGTGATGTCTGTTGGCCTGCATGTCATGATCATGCCTCAGCTAGTGCTGACCAAGGCCGCTGTGTCACAGTCTGTTAAGGTCAAGTTTTACTGACCCCCATTATGTCCGCAGGGGACATCTTCACCATAGCTCACAGTCCCGGGGGATGCCATCACTGAACACATCCCACATGTACACACACTTTGCTGTCCTTAAACAAAAGTCATAACAAAGCCAATGAGTAACTTCCGACAGCATCTTGGTGCCACATGTCCCGGCTAACCGAGTTTGATTTTGCGGCTGCACAAGAGGGCCAAGTGTCATACAGTATTTCAGGAGAGGATGTTTTCATTGTGCCATAGCAATAAAGCTGATAGACTCTTTGAAGTGTGACTTTTTTGAAGTGTCCTTGAAGGAAGTCATGTGCGAAATGTTGAGGATAATGTAGCCAGCTGTCAGGGTATCATCAGCGACACAAAGGGAATCTCAAGTGTTCTTTTTTTAAGGGGTGGGGCGCAACGCCCGTCTTTACAGCAGTCTTTGATAGCTTCACATCTCACAGGTTTCACAGAAAGGCCTTTTGAAACCACATTTGATCACTGTACCAGTGAGTTTACACTGGCCCATTGATAGACGTGGAGGAATATGTCCAGTAGATGTGGACGCAATAGAGGTTTTTATCTTTAACAGTACATTGTAGTGATACTAATAGCTGTTCACAGAAAGCTTTTGTCACTATTCGTTTCTAAATTACTAAATCAATTCCCAAATGTAAAGGGTGAATGTATCCTTAAGTTCCCCTCCCCATTGAGTGGGTGGCATGATCACACTGCCCTAAACAGCAGCTAACCCACTCTAAAGCCTGCGGCAGAGGGGACCACTACAGACTAACAACTACTAGTCTGCTCTCAGGAAGCTAGTCACACCACTTGACAAGGCAAAGATAAGTGTGTCACTAAAGTGAAGCGCTCACACCCGATCCATTCTGTCGTTTCAAATATTCCCTATTTGTTCAGAACACTTTATTGTTATACACGTTGCATTATTTTTTGCTATGTGGCAGAGTAGCCAGTTTACATTTGCACTACAGTTTAAATTAAACAATAAATACTTATGTTTATCTGCAATTACTTTATCAGCACATTTATTTTTGAACACGCAAACCTATTCTACATTTGAAGTTACTGTAGCTACTGTGTTGTTGTAGAGCTGCTAATCAAGAGTGGACCAAGTGAAGTTTGCCCTCCACCGATCTGAAATATCTCTACGAGTGGGAGTTAAAAATGACCTTGGTTTCAATGCATTCAGTTTTTCCTCCCATTTGAGCTGGACTCATACTAACTGTCGGGTCATTCTCAGATTTCAGTGTTGCTGAGCTTGGCCTGTTTCACCCTACTCAAGGCCAACCATATTTGGCCCAGTAGGACTGAAAGATATTTGGAAATATTGTTGACTGAAGTCATAAGAGCCAAAGTCTGTAGCCTTCAGCCAGTTCACTCCATAGGATCATGTGCACCAGCTGTCAGGCCTGAGTGTTTCCGGATAAGTGAGAATGTATCCATCCACAGGGTAGAAACATGGTTCTTATGCACTTTCTCTGTAACAGCCTGGATTGCATAATTTACCAAAAATTGACTGTTTTTATCCCTAGAGACAAAACAAAAAAAAACTACTCGTGAAGTCTGATAACAGTGGGCAGTGTCCAAGGCAAAAAGAGAAGCAGACCAATACATTTTTGTCATTGTTTCTGTTGCCTCCTACCAGAGAGAGGTAGCACCTCTCTCACAGTAAAGGTCACCTCAGCACCTGCTGTGTTTGTTTTTGCTACAAAGAACATAAATGCCACATCCCCACCTGCGGAGCTGCTTTACGTAGTGAAAAATGAAAACTCATCACAATGTAGACAGAGACACACAAATTATTTCTAGTTGTAAATGTGCAGGACAAAAATCAGTGTGTGTGTGTGTGTGTGTGTCTTAAATAAAAAAAATAAAAAAAACATTTTAAAGGGGTATTAAGCCAAAGTCAAAAGTGACGTTTGCTGAAATGTCTTGCAATTGTCAATTTTAATATTTTAGTTAAACATCTTGTGTTGCAATGTACAGTAGTCATAAGTAAGTAAAACATAATTTCAGGGCTTAAAGTTCTCAGGCGCTTAACCCTAGTTGCTCCAGAGGCGTGCAACCTCTGACATGTATAGGAATTGTAAGTCGCTTTGGATAAAAGCTAAATGAATTAATGTAAATGTAACAGGACATGGAAGTTTCGTTTAGTTAGGCTAATATAAAATGGTGCAACAGCAGTCCACGTGTTATTATTGTTATAATAATGCGTTTTGGACTAAATATTTTTTAGTCCAAAACGCTATTTAGTCATTTTTTACTAAAGATTTGACATTTATTGTGATTATATTATTCTGAATATAGGGAGTGGTAGAACATTTCACAAGAATGCAGGTATTTAATGGTTTTAAAAATGGAGTACTGGAACAAACTGGAAGAAAGAAGGGTGTTCCTTGATAGCTGTATCTAAAGTAGTTAAATATAAAAGTAATTTGTGAAACACGTTGAAATTCACCGGACAATAAAAACGGGTGTTAGAGTAGAACAGCTTTAATGGTTTGTCATATCATCATATCAATGATAAAGAAGCCGACGCCAAAGCTCTCTTTGTCACACTGACACAAAGTTTATTAAAATGTATTGGACAACATGCAGCATAAAGAAAAGTGTAGCAAGTTATTCATCACCTACAAATCACAAGTCAAGTTTCTTTCTGTTTTTATCATCTTTGTTTGAAAAGCATGCATGAGTAATTCCAGCTGAGCAAACGGCTGTTACCTCCTGGTGACAGTGTAATACCATCAGGACAAATAACTGAAAATGTGGGAGAAAGCTCCCTTATTACAGTGTAAACACTGGGTATGTGGACTGTAAAATAAAGCTGGCAGTTGTTCATCCCATTGTCAGTGTAATTACAATGTACGTAGAGGGTAGGAGCTAAGGGAGCTACTGTTGCCTTTACAGCTACCACTACAAAATCTCTGGACAAGGAATTGAAAACTTTCACCTTAAAGAGCAACACACTGTTTTGGCTTCTATGTGTCCCATGTTATGTGATAGTTTTTTCACAGTTTTTGGGGGGATAAGTGGACAGAATTATTGGATTTATTCTAGAAAAAGAAATATAATGTCTATTGCAATGAACACTATAAAATGGGACCAGGACTGTATATGCAATTTGCTAACTCATGAAGATTTAATGTCAAGTTATTCTCACTTATTAAGATGTTTGTACGGGTAATGCAGTGTGTAAAATGAAACCATCCCTCCTTTATAATATATTTACAGTGTAGGTACAGGGTATGAGATAGGGGTGGAGCTAAGGGACCTACTGTCAACAAAAACAACCTTACCTGCATCACACATGCTACCTCAAAGGATCATCTGCCTTCAGACCTCCGGGTCTCTGAGACACAAACCACAGAGCCACGAGACACGTAGTGACAGTGATCAACACCTGAATCAACACTTCACATTACTGCCATCTGGTCGGGGATACAGGACTTTAAAATGGAGGATAGCTTCAGCAGGAGTTTTGTCCCTTCTGCCAAAGCAGCCCGAACAAAGTGCCCCACTGGCGCTTTTGTGAGCTGTATGAATGTATACCTGAAAATCTTGTGTATTGTCTATATCTGTATGCTTCTATGTTGTACTGGCTGTGAAAACAGATCTCCCTCTGGCACAATAAAAATATCAGTCTTTGAATGTCAGGAGGTGGGGTGTGGAAGCGGGGGTAAACGTGACATTGCATCATAATACTCGCTGAGGACGTGTCCCGTGGTATGTGATAGAGTTTTCCCAGTTTTTTGGTAGGTTAAGTGGACAGAATTATTGGATTTATTCTGGAAAAATAAGGATAACTTCTATTGCAATAAACACTATAAAACAGGACCAGGACTGTACATGCATCATGAAGACTTAATGTCAAGTGACTCTTTAATGACAAGGAGTTAAAAAACATAGGCTAAAGTTCCCTTATTACAGTGTGTGTACAGGATCGAGTCCCTGCTTTTCCCTGTTCAATATATTTACAATTTAGTTACAGGGTATGAGCTAGGAGCTAGTACGAGCTTTCAGTGACAGTACAATACCATCAGGACAAAGAAATGAGAAATAGTGAGAAAGCTCTCTTTTTACAGTGGAAGACGGGGTATATGCACTGTAAAATGTTCCTTGTTTCACACTTCAATGTCATTATAAAGTCATAGTAGGTGTCCGAAATGTCTCACCCCCTAACTCCCTGTACCTCATGCTTTAGGTTCCTGTACGATACCCCTTAATACAAAATATTTGTGGATTGTTATCCAAAGCATTAACCCTTTTGTATTTATTTTTATTTTTTTTACATCTAGTCAATGACACAGAGGAAGTTGGGCCACTGCAGACGGTAGACATCAGCAACCCCGATACCACCAAGTGGGTCCTGCGTGACTTGGAGCCTGTGAGCAAATACAAGTTCTACCTGCGCTCCTGCACCACGGTGGGCTGTGGGCCTGTTGTCAGCGAGGAGTGCACCACCACCCTGGAAACAAGTGAGTGATGGAGGGTTCGGAAATCAATCGATTAGGTGGTGTATGTGTGGATAAGCTTGTGGGAATGTGAGGAGTGTGATGCTTCCTGGTAAAGACGATGAGAACGCAGACGAGCTTTGAGGTGCAGAACTGGGCTGGGCAGACTACAAGCTAAGTGGAGGAGGTGACAAAGCCATTTCACTTTTTCAAAATGGCATTGAACTAGTGGAATATGATATATGTCTGGGCAGCCAAGCTTTTCATATCTCCATGGAGGTAATTTTTGTGGATAAACAATTTCATATGGGTGTGGTAGAGGTTTTCATTCGTCACTGTCATGAGGGAGCAAGTGCTTATTGATTGGACGGAGAGTGTGAGCTTTGAAACAATCAGCTAAGAAACTAAATTGCTTTGAGCAGGAGGGAAACTGAAGGTTTTGATACTGAATTGTGTAGTCATGAAAGAGCCGGTGGGTAAGTAATCATAATGAGCCGGCTTCTAACATGTAATCTTTTCTGTTCAATTACATATCATTGTTGAGGATTGCACGCCATACTTCAGCTGGCTCAAACTCAAGTCCAGCTTCTGTGGCAGTGGTATGAATGATTGGACGGGAAATGAAACAAGAAGCTGTACTTGGATTCCCCCGAGTGTCAGTAAGAATGGGCCGCAGCAACAGATACTGTCGGCATAAATAATTGGGTGGCATTCTTTATACAAATACGACCCAAATAAATTTAGTGTGTCATTCAAGTTGAGTTGTGCAAAAACAAAAGCTCAACTTAATGTGGCAACACTGGTGTTGAATATGCGAGGGATTACTTAGTACTTACTGGAAGAATCCTTACAATCACAGAAAGAAACGTAATTGGTTCTTAGGGGTTGTTTATTTGAATGCTGAAAAGCCAGCAAAAATGATTACAGGGAGAAGGACATTTTTGTATTGAATTGCAATTTTGTGGAGCTTTTACATGTGTGTGTGGGAGACTAATGATTTGAGCATAAAAGTTTTTCCGTGGCAGTTCTTTTCTCTGTGTGTGTGTGTGTGTGTGTGTGTATGTCAGTGTTGTTTCTGTTAATTGTCCTCTGCCTGCTTTCTGTTATGCCACTAAAAAGTACATTGCTTTGAGCATTGCCTTTGATCAAACTGTGTGTGAAATGTGTAAATGTCTGCTTAGTGATGCATTTCCTATGCCTTCTGTCTTTTTCTATCTTTCTTTTCTTCCACTTTGGCGCCCACTGTTGCCCTCAGCATGTAAATCTGTGTTCATGTACACTGTGGCACGTCATACCTTCACATACACTCTCAAACTGCTCTGAAATACTGTTGATGACATTAATACTTCATCTAGGAATTATGTGTTTCTAAATTTGCTGTGTGTTGGAATGACAGTTTTAACAGTCATGATAGTTATTTTAGATAGACAGTGCATGCTTTAGATTTATGCTACAGGCCTGAATAAATCATCGGGTTTCAAACAGTTTGACACATTTTTATTTTTGCCTGTACAGAATTAAAAAGCTCCAAACACTCGTCTCCTGCAGATAATTGACCTTGTCTGCTGTTTGCCCTTGCCATCAGCAGAGAGCACTCTGATGCCTCCTTTCATTAGAAAAATGTCAACTTCTTCTTAGATAAAGTTTGTGGCTTCCTCTCCAATAGCAATGATAATGAGTAACCTAATTATAAATTCATATTAATCTTGGCTCATTAGCAACTGTAAACGAATATTGACTTTTATCCTAGCAATAGCAGAGTCAGTGCAACTCGTGTAACTCAAGCTGAGGAAATAAATGATGCTTTAAGAGCCAAACCTAGAAGGAGCATCAGACACACCAGACATCCATCTTTCTTCCTTTTAATGATGGAACAAAAATTAATTCACTTCTGAAAGGCAAGATCAAGTCAAATTGAAAATCATAGCATCTCACCTTGTGTATGTATTGATTCTACATCATGTTTTCCTGTAGACATGTAGTCCTCACGATTAGTTACTAACTTTAGAGTTTAGCTGGAAATAACATGCGGGCTGACAGCAGAATCTAGCGCCCCGAGCTCCATCCCAAGTGATAACCACAAGGTCTGTCTTTTTTTTTCAGGCAAGTCTGCTTCCCCCTCACCTCCAAGCACTCGAAAGTCCCCAGTGACCAAACCCACTCGATCCACCATAGGTAGAGCTGCAGCACATTCCGACACAACAAGCATCAAACCACAGAGACAACCAAGAACAGTGAAATAAATATGGAAAAATATGAATGTTTGTGTTTCGTCAGGACATTATGCATTTGTGAGGTAACCTGATGGCCCATGGGCTCACTTGGTTCACTCTTGGCTCTAAGTAAATTGATAACACAAAAACAAAACGACATCCAGCTCTACATCATGTAGACTAATTAGCTTTTTCAGGGTTGTTTTTTATAGTTTATGTTGTTTCCAGGGGGAACAAGGTTTGGAATATAAAGTAACAGTTCCATTTTATTATTTGTTATGAACCAAGTGCATACTGATGAAAAAACTGGTTTTAATTTCTCTGCTGTGCTATGGGGAAATCTAGGAAACTAGATCTATATCCACAGTGTAGCTGTAGAGTGCAGTCACTTGAATGGGGACAAATATGTCTAATTGCCAGTGATTGATTTGTTGGCCCTCGGTTCCATCCCCCCCCCCGTACACGTCAGTGTATTGACACAACAGTCACCTGACATTTCCATGTAATCTTCTACAGGATAAACAGCAACACCGCCCTGGGACAAGAAGTTGTCCGAGGCAGCATCTGAGCTGAGGGAAAATAGTGAGGAGGAACGTCCTCCTGGGCCATGTGAGCTCATACTGGGAGGGTGATATTTACAGGACGCAGAGATAAGTGGATAAGTGGAAGCTGCTGAAAGCTCCTATATCAGAATATTTTCTGGCCTCTCCTTATAAAAAAAAGCCTCTGACTTTGAAGGGGCTTCTTCCAGGACATCAGCTCCCTGCTGGGTGAGCAGCTGCTTTCTGCAGCATTTAATAGCAAGCTGAGGAGCGCAGTGACAAAACACGGCAGCCAGCCTTGGGATATTTTTAGTTCAGGGGCCTGTGTCATTCGGAGTCATTGTGCAGTTCCAATCATTGAAATTACCATAGTTGCAGACTAATCCATCAACATTAGTCAGAGAGTGTCATTTGCAGTGGTTGGGATGGGCAGCCCTGACGCAGGTGTCCTTGTGTACTAAATCATCACCTGAGCAAATAATGCACCTGAGCTGGAGACACAGCAGAAGATTTGCATGTTTGCCATGGGGAAATGAAGTGGGCTGTGCCTTGTTGACTAGCTTAGACAGCTGCTGTCAAAGATATTTTTTCTCATACTAATGATGCACATCACTCACTACATGATTCCATTTTTTCCCTTTCCAGTTGGGTATCAAAAGGCTACATTTCATGATACCATCTGAGGTAGATGAAACTTAGTACAGATGAAATGTGCTCCCGCTTTCAAAGAAAATAACATACACAATATGATTATGAAAACCCACTTACAATTAGAAACCCACCACAAAAAAAGAGTACAGTCAGGGCTGCAGCTACCATTGAGAACATTCTTCTGTGTTGCTTCTGTGAATTAAATGATTAATTATTATCTATGGATAAAAGGTTGTTGGCTGTCAGTTGGACAAAAAAAGGCATTTGACCTTTGAGCTTAGGAACGTGCGCTGGGCATTTTTCTCCATTTTCAGACATTTCAAAGACTAAATGGTTAATCAATTAGGCCTAAGAGAAAAATAATCAATAGATTAAGATAATGAAAATAGTCATTAGTTGCATAGCTACTAAACATCTTTAGATTTGACTGTTTTTAGGCAAAACATATTAAACTAACCAGAATAAAATAAAGAATAATTTAGATCATCATGTAAGGAGATTAACATTACAGGAAATATAGTCAAACAGTAAATTTGATGAATGAGATGAAATCTTTATAGTCAAATTTTAATTGAGGTAATTTGACCCCAGCACTGTATTTCTAAAGTCCCAGCTATGGCTCTGAGTAAAACAGACAATTTCTGAACTAGTGTTGGCCAGTGTTTGTGTGTGGAATATAATAGCTTTCTTTGATATGACAATAATGACAATAGATACAACATAAAAGATTTCAAAATCATCACATAGTTCTGATGGCAAATCTCCCTTAAGATCTCTGTAGATCGTTTAGCTTTCTGGGCTCCACCTGTGAATCCATTTCCATATTCATATTACTCTTGTCATGTTTGCTGTTGAGGGATTCACCCGACGTCCCCCCTCTGTCAGACGTAATTGATGCCTCCTTACACTAGCGTTGGGAAGCACAAGAGCACGCTCGCCTCTTTCACAGAAGTGGAGAGCAACATCCTTCACTGCATAACCACAAGACTCCTAACACCTCCATAATGGCTTTGCTCTGCTTTGTCCTGTACTAACCCTTCTTTGCCATTTCTGTCCTTTTCTCGTCTTCTCTCATTTCTCCGTCAGCCCTGGCCTTGTTGAATGTTAGCTCAGCTGTTAGTGACAGCTTTGCAAATATCAGCTGGATATCTGGAGGAGAGCAAACGGAGTTTTATATTGCATATAGGAACAACCGTAAGCTCACATTACCCTTCTTCTCTGTTAGTTTGTGGATGTTGTTAGATAGATTCTGTAGGTGAAACATCTAATAACTTTAGACGTGTTGTGTCTGAAATGGTCATTCATGTCTTTTCATTCCTGTCTTCACTAGATTCAATAGTTCTCGTGAGTACTAACCCATCCTGATCATTCGCCCTCTGCACAGGTGAGGGTCTCTGGAAGATATCAGAGGCCGTAAACACCTCTAAGACTTTCCACATCATCCACGGGCTTGAACCTGGGACTGAGTACACTGTGCGAGTACACAGCTGGGTTGATAATTCTAGTATATTTGAAGATGTTATCACGACCGGGTCTGCAGGTGAGGAGGGTAACAAAATGACTCAAACTAAAACAACAACAACAAAAAAAGGAACAACAGGCAAAACTAATTGACCTCTCATTGAACAGCCCGTCCTTGAGCAGTGACAGTGTGTGGTCCTTCGCGGTGTCAGTAGGATTTAATTTAGCCGCACAGACTCGCTGAGAGGAATTACATTTGTACAGCGTTCCTTACTTGATTAATTAGACAAGCAAGATTAGCTGTTTAATATTAATATTGGACCGTTTCCATCAGCGGTATGCCCTGCCACCTTCTGCCTTCACATCAGAAAGGCTTTGTCGATGTAAACATTCAATCAAGTGTCCTAATGAAAGGCCAAGGGGTGTCAAAGTCAACGTGTATTGTTCTCCTCAGGTCTGGCCAGCATCCACGGAGGAATATCCACCCAGGGCTGGTTTATTGGCCTGATGTGTGCCATCGCTCTCCTCACACTCATTGTGTTGATAGCCTGCTTTGTCAACAGAAATAAAGGAGGGAAGTATTCCGGTAGGTGCTCACTTACATGCATACACATGTCCTTGCTTGAATACTAATTGCTGCTTTGAGCATCATTATATTACCATTTCGCTGTTTGTTGCTATGGCAAAAAGGATCAATCATCCTAGAAGCCATTACAGGGATATGTAAGCTGGCATGTTTTTTTTTATTTCTATTTGAGGCCACAAAATTATTTTAATGCAAATTCATACAGAAAATAGGCTTGTGCATTGATAGGAAAATGAGCCTTTCTACTGTATGTCCAGCATTTGAATTTTGCATTATTTAGACACGCAGCTTTTTCCAGCGACAATTTAAACAAAGTGCAGCCCACAGCGAGACAAAATGCAAATGCTGCGCATGGGTGGGGGGGGGGGGGGGCTGTGCAGGGACTCTGTGTATACTGTGGTATCTCAATGTTATTCATCCTATTGGGGACATGAGAGTCCTTATCGGCTTTATTATTCACAGCTAATGGCCATCAGGTTGTCGGCTGGGTAGCGATCGCTACACTCGTCAGCAGAAACAAAGAGCGAGACGCTGCTCTGTCCTTTGTTTTCTCATTAAGTTCTCATTGCCACCCATTGCTCCGACAACCTTTCTTTCATTTGCCTGAGCCATGTGTTTTTTCTCTTAGATCACATGTACAGTTTGATTTGTACTGTATTTAATATTAAAATTATATCATGAATTTAACATTTAGATTTAAGAAATCAAGTTTAAATATATATTACAAGATAAAGCTTGATTTTTAGATAAAATAAGATGATTGAATGTCTCGGCAATATTTTCTACGGCTTGCACTGCTCTTTCATTCAGTGAATAAGTGCAGGGAATCAGGGACTTTTTCAAACAGCGGAACAGTCAGGGGACACAGTGATCTTCATTGGCAGCTGTCTCTTGTGGAAATCACTGATATCTTCACTTCATTTTGTGAGCAGTAAAAGAAAAAGAGGACCTTCATCCAGACGTGGAGTCCCAGGGCATGAATGATGACACATTTTGTGAATACAGGTAAGCGGAGAACTATTTCACCACCTCACTGCAATTCACGTGCAACAGTGTATGGATTCCATCCTCTTCTCTCTGTAATCCTCTCTGCATTCTTCCTCTCGCTGAAAAAAAGACAACCCTGCACACATGAGGTTCAGGTGGAGCCTTACTCTTCTTCTGTTCAAGACATTTGATGGACTGAGTAACTGGAAAGTATGTGATAAACAGTGCTAGCATCCCTGGGCTGTTTACACATCAGTGTGTGTCAGAGTGTTAACATCCCTTTTTAGGACATTTTGATCTTAGAAACCGTGTTGTGTTGGTGTTTGTTATAGACGCTGCATCATAAATGGAGCCGCAGCAGCATTCAGATGTTGCCATTTTCTGTCCGGATGCAGCGAAACTCTGGCTGTCCAGCACACAGTAGGAAGCTAAAAACCAATCAGTGTAATTGAAAGCAGCTCATCTCCAGGGCAGTAATATCTGGGCACGTTTCATTAATCCTTTAGTGGTCCAATTCATAACAGCCTAACGCAGTATGAGCCCCGTGTAATTCTCCAATCAGTGGGATCCGCACAGCACAACAAATGCTGATGTGATGAAGTCAAAAGTGCTCAGTGTGACACGACTTCATGTTGACTCCAGAAGCTGGTTGTCCTTCCTAAGTTTTTAGCAACTACTAGCTAGCTTCAAACTAGTGGTTTTACTAGGTTCGGTTGCACCATTAAAAAGAATCATCTAAGCCAGTGAAGCCGTAATGTGAAAGCCAAGCCTGCTTTGGAAATAAGAAGAAGCATTGCCCACGCGAGACTCGCCTCAGCCAGACCCGCATGTGTTCCAGCAGAAAGAAATTGTCAGTAGTCAAGTAACGTAACACATGCATATTTGCATGATACAACACTGATATGATTACATTTTTAAGATTTTCTTATTGTATTGGTGATCATGTTGTTCATCACATGATTACACACTGCTTTCTGATGACAAAATGTGCTTAAAAATAAAACCCTACGAGTCGTAGATTAGAAAGCTAACGTTAACTTTGTTCATTTGGTGCAGTTACCTACACAAAAATCAGTGACTAATCTTTATGTAAGCAGTCGTTTAAATGTAGTGATGCATGAATAACCGCATAGTAAACACTAAATAACAAGGCTAAGTTAAAACTTAAGAACAGGTGGTACAACCAAGTTCATGTCAGAGGCTCTAATGTCAGGAAACAAAAACTTACTCATGAACTTAATCATACATGATAGTCTCACAGCTGAAATGCATTAAATGGTGCCAATGTCCCCCTCTAGATCTCATTTCTGTTCCAGCCGTCATGTGTGGCGTAATGATTAATATTGTCTCAACATGTTCGTCTGTGTGATTATTTCCCATTGGTCAGCCAGAGGTAAAAGCTAATGTCAGTCACAGAGGCTCATCGTAGAGGCAATGATAGCTCGAGCCTGCGCCCTCTCGTCCTCTCCAATAAGCCATAGAGTGAAGCCATGGGTGAAATGAGGTAATTCTAAATCCACTGTGCTTCTCTTACAGTGACAACGATGAGAAGCCACTGAAGGGCAGCCAGCACTCGCTGAGCAGAGAGATCAAAGCGGGGGACAGCGGGGACAGCCTGGTGGACTACGGCGACGAGGACGTTCAGTTCAACGAGGACGGCTCCTTTATCGGCGAGTACGCAGGGCGAAAAGAGAAGAGGGTGTCCACTGAGATCAAAGCCACCGTTCAGACCCCGGCATGAAGAGCAGAACCGCCATCTATCCTCTTCCGGACAACATTTTCATTAAACCTGCTGAGAGGAAGAAATGAAAGAGGAAACAGACATTATCCATACCGAGCACAAGTTTTGTGTCAAGTATAAATGCGTCATTGCCAGCTGCACACAGCCACCCTCGATTTATAAAGCTCTGTTTTGTCAAGTTGCACCAGAATGACCATTACTGAATACTGTGTATATATACAAGTGTATATTGTTTGTCTGGAGTGTCTTTTTTTTATAATTATCACATAAAAAAAATGTAGAGGGCTTGTATTTTCTTTTTTTTTTGTATCTCCATTACTTCAGCTGCAGTACTGTTTGTACAAATGTTAGGAAAATGTTACTCTCCATTGCACATCATTATACAGTCTGCAGCTTTGCCTCTGATGTCATCTTGCAGCAGACCACAGATAAGTGGGGGTTATCAAGTTGATATTTTTCAATTGGAGCAAACATAACTGACCTTTTATATACGAAATGGATTCATTAAATATGATGTAAGATGTGTATAAAGGTTGCTTATTAACTTATTTTTTTCCAGTGGTTTTATACCTGACAAAATAACAAGGACATTTACATATCATTACATATCATAAACATTGATTCTTGAGTCATGAATCTGTGGTGTTAGAAGAAAATATAATTTAGTTATTCTGTCTTGTTTAGCATTTAGATCCATTGGACAGTATAAATTACAAACCTCAGTCTGTGCTTAATATAACTTCGATTAAAACTACAAATACAATTGCAGTTGAATCCAGTTCTGGTGATGGAATAGTGGATGAGATGCTTGCTTTTGGTGTGAGAGACCCAGGTTCAAGTCCCTACTGTGACACATTTACCAATGTGTCCCTGAGCAAGACACTTAACCCCACATAAAAGCGTCATAAGGTAATGTTAAAATGCTTTTGCCAATAACTGGTGTTTCAAAAAGTTTCTCTGAAAACACAAGTTAGTTATGCAGGTAGCTGCATAGTCCTTAAAGGAATAGTTCGACATTTTGGGAAACACTCGCATTTGCCATCTTTCTGAGAGTTAGATAAGAAAATTGACACGACTCTCATGTCTGTACAGTAAATCTAAAGCTACGGGTAGGAGGTTAGATATTAACAGAAAGACTGAAAACAGGGAAACAACTAGTCTGGCTGTTTCCAAAGGTAACAAAATCCTCTTACCGGCACCTCTAAAGCTCACTTATTAACACAATATATCTAATTTGTTTAATCTGTGAGTATAAAGACAATTCAGCCCAGAAATGACCCTGGTTACTTGTGACTAGCTGTAGCCTACATTTAACAGAGAGACGTGAGAGTGGTATTGATATAATAAACGCATTTTCTAAAACGTTAAACTATTCTTTTATAACGGCACTCCCGTGATTTAGTATTATACTTCCATGATGATGGAGGAATTTAGAAAAAACAATGGTAAAACTCGAAGTAGCAGAGGCCAAGACCATCCTGACTTTTAGTCCCACGTGGGGGTCAAGCTCCAAAATGCTAAAACAAAACTTCCCTCGATTGCAAGATGTAAGTATCAGTATCTCTCAAATTCCATGTCCCCAGTTTGTACTGAGCTAACCCTGGTGACATCACTTTCGCATCATCAGGGATGTTTTTCCAGACTTGCCAAATCTCCTGCAGAGCCACAAAACATAATACATACAACTGTTATGTATGTAACTGTTTGATTTCCATGTGTGATTTGGTGAAGTGTCCCTTTAAGAGGACAGTATATAGTTCCTATAATGTATTATAGACATTCTTGTAATCAGATTACTGTAATCTGGTTGCGTGACATTTGACATTTTCTTACCGTGTCACTGTTCTATCAGTTCCATCAGTCTTAACAAGCCTTACTCTGTTCATTTTAATATACTGCCAGCCAAAACGCAATCATTATATTGTTCAGCACTAACATTAGCACCATATTGCAAAAATTGCAATGTTTTGTAAAATCCAGTCATTGCATGTTAAGAATGTTAATTGGTGTTTTTTGATGTCATTAAATTGCTTTACTTTCTTACATCCTGTTAATGGTCTGACTACCTGTTTGGTCACAGCCATCACTTACGGAATATTCTTAATGTACTTGATACCTACAGTGCTGTATAATGCCCCACTAGATGAATACGTGACTAAATAAATCTCTGCCTTTACCTCCAGTCAGCAGTAAAATATGACCTGTGAGAAAGCGGCACCTGGTGAAACATCCTCATTCCCTCTGAATAAAATGAAAGATGTTTGACAAATTGTTCCCATTTGGAATACGGCTTTTAACAAATGTCACACCAGGGTCAAGTCTCTGTCTGAGTTGAGTGTCTTGTGTGATTACTTTGGCTGCGGGAGAGAATCATGTGAAATCAAAGGAGTGGGCTCAGACAGGCATTGGATCTTGGAGCGAAGGCTGTAATCATGTCTGATGGTTGATAGTAGGGAGTGGAAAGTGTCAGTGTGAGGGTTCTCACTGCGTGGGCCTCAGATACTCTGTCATCACTCAGCCGGGTTTGCCTTAGCTCCAGCAGTTCAGCTTTCACATATATGACCTTCAGGTGTTGTTTATACACCCTCTGGTAGCCATATTGAAGGTCCTTAGTTGTTTGGCTGCAATGTGAAGAGCTGGACATGTCTCTACACCAGTGGTTCTCAAACCTTTTCACATCAAGGACCCCAAAACTGACACAAATTAGACCACGGGTCCCCATCTGAGAGGATTTTTGCTTTTAGATATTTTATTACAGAAAGTGTATGAAACCATGACCACAATAGTCAAACATCCTGTCATTGTGTTATGTATGGACGTAATTATAGTAAAAAATAAATGGACCCACACTCACATGGCAACTAATAAATTGAAAGAGTTATTGTTCTCTGTAGAAATTCCTGCTGGCTACACTGGCTGTGAAATACTCTCAAACACAAACTGAGGTAGCAGAGGCAAAAATCTTTGTCTAAACGTATTCTCACTGATATTCACTGAAACTAATGAGGCTTCAACAGCTAAATTCAAATGCTACAGTATCATATAGATTCAGTCTTCGGAAAAGGAACAGTAAGCCTTTCAACATTCATACACATATACTGTATATTGCTCAATAAATTAAGGGAAAACTTAATCATCACAGCACAACATCATGCCAATTTAACTTCAGGGATATTAATCTGTCCAGTTGGGAAATTGTGAATTGATGTCTCCTGTTTTGGTGCAAATGAAAGTGATAGCAGGTGCACTGGAGAGGCAACAGCAAGGCAATTCCCAAACCGGGAATGGTTTTGCAGGTGGTGGCCATAGACAGTTGCTTTCTTCTTATCCTTCCTGACTGATTGTCACTATTGGTAGCATAAGTCTGTGCCTGCAGCCTATTCAGTTTCAGACAGTCCACTCCTCCAGGTTGGCATTTCATGCGTGCCATCGCAAGAAGGTTTGCTGTGTCTCACAGCACACAGACTCAACAGCATGGAGGAGATACCAGGAGATGGGCAGTTCCACGAGGAGAGCTGGACAGGGCGGGAGAAGTGCATTAACCCTGCAACAGGATCGGTACTGAAACCAGAGCTCAGGTGCAATACCATTACAAATACCGTGACATCGAGCAAACTACGACACAGCAGGTAATATAAGTAATGTTAGCTAAGTTGTGGGAACCATTGCTAACATGCAGAGAGGAGACGGTCCCGAAACCAGAACACCGGCTCCAGACAGCCATATACATCTCCTGCTACATCACAACAACAGCATGTCTTGGCGAGCTAGAAAATAAACTGAATGTCTGTGGGCGAGTCATTTAAAGTTACCTGACACACAAACCATGGCTGGAATAGTGTTGGCTGGGTGTGAGCCACTTTGTTAGTGACCCATTTTCAGCGCCAGGGCTGTGTATAAACACAACATTTTCAGCACACACATCAACGGACAGCTAGCAGATTGTGAGGAGGTATTTAAATATTGGTAGTTTGCTGATACGTGGAGAATCCAGATGCTGAATTTGGACCAATTTAAATAAAAAAAAAATCAATGTTGTGGTGAACAATAAAACCAAACATATGATCTAATTATATATATATATATAGATATAGTTGGATCTGTTTCATTTTGCATATTAATATAACATGCACGGACGTAATGTTGTTTAAGTCAGCTGCTGGCCAAAATGCTAAAGGAGTAACGAGGGAAAGAGGTGTTCTTTCCACAGCTGTAAGTACTGCCATTAGGCCAAGCTGTGTCACAGTCAGAAATGCAAAGAACATGTTATTCCGTAAACGTTGTGAGACCTGCAAAAAAGCTTTCAATTTTGTATTGAAGCATCTGCTAAGAAACGTCAAACTTGGCCTGTAGAAAGAAACTCCGGCAGCTGCTGCCTGTGAAGCATCCAGTTAATCAACGTTTTGTGTTTTGTAAAAGCACTGAATACTTCTCTTATAAATGCATGTGCAAAACAGTAACATTAGTTCAAAAGCCAAGATTTTTTTTTTTTATAAAAAACATTGTATGCTTCGTAAAAATCATCCTCGTTGATGCCCGAGTGCTGCTTTCTGCCCCCAGCTGCGCGCGCATCTCGGTGATGACGTTGCACCATCTATATTTTTAGTCTAAACATTTTCTAAAAGTTTTGTCCAAGCAATTAAAGCATTACTCATGCTTAAGACCAAATGTAATCCAATAGGCAGAGTCTACGGTGAAAACTGGGGTTTCTAAAATTGAATCTGCTCACTGTGTTTGTATCTTTAAGCCTTGCAGTACCAGGTGAACCTTATATATATATGATGACATATGAATGTTACTACCAACACACACACACACACACACACACACACACACACACACACACATATACCAAGCATTGTGTTGTTGGCATTGGGTCATGGGGTCACTTAATAAATGTGCTGATGATGTATTCAAGTTATTTCCTATGGAGTAGCACAGGGTAGAGGTCAAATGATTTTACTACTTAGTATGTGAAAGCCATAATGTACAGTGACATATATTTAACCAGTCTTTTAAGCGTTATACCCTACATATCATTCCATGACCCCAGTCCATTACAATTGCAATGTCAAAGACTTAAATAATGCTCTATTGTGTGTCCGTACCTCTAATGGAATTCACAGTGGGGATCTGAAGCAGGTCTCTCTACGGGCATCGCCATTTTTGAGTGATGAATAGAGGAGATGGAGGGTCAATGACTTAAAGCACAAGGTGGACTTTTAAGAGCTCCAATGACATGAAAGAGCCTTTTTCAGACAAAGCGCTCCAACAGTGTTTCATCGAAATCACAGTTATAAATAATACAAGACTCAAATGAACGTCAGAACTGCCTCGAAGCTCTCACACTGGAAAAAATAGCTGCATTAAGTAAAGAGAAAAATGGACTACTTCCCCTGCCATATAAATTTCTTCCCATGTTGCCAAGAAATGCCGTAAGGCCGACATCAGAAAAGCAAATGAAACAGTGGATCCAATTATCATTTCACAGTGTAGGAATGATAAAACGTCTGCATGCTGTTGCCTCATGCAAGATGACTTCATATTCCTTGATAAAGCAAGACATACTACAATCTTTTTCCTTTTCTAAAGTCACTTACTATTACCTATTGTAGTCCACATCAGAAATTATAAGTGGAAATTCAACCAGTGGAGATCTGATTCATACAGTCAGGTAATGAGAAATCCTCGTTGCAGTGGCAGTGCGGCTCTGCGCTCTACAGCACTGATTCATCTGGCGCGTCGCTGAATTTCCAGTGCCAGCACAGGCCTGTGACTCTTTCAAAGTGCTCAGGCGTCCGGGACATCTGAGGGACTGATCTCAACATACTGCACTGGCGCTGCAAATGAATTGGTCCCCCAGGTCTCCAAAGCTGTCAGCAACGCACATTATATGAGAGCTTCATTCATCAACACATTTTCCCTGTGAGCACCAACTTTTGAAAAAAAAAAAAAAGGTTGCAAATAAATGTAGCGAAACTTTAGAAATGCATTTTGAATATGCTGAATATTCACGTGGTATTGTAAACATTTGTGGAACTAAATCATGAACTGGTGCCTGTATGGTTGCTATATTTCTCAGGTGAGGTGTAATACAAACGCTCTCACCTCTAGAGACATGAATTTCCTCTTGAAATAAATGAAAAACAGTACTGTGCGTGGTAGAATTTATTGTATTATTATATGAGATTGAGATTTTTGCAGTGCAGTCATGGCATCATAGGTAAATATTTATGTTGCGGCAGACAAGATGCACCATATCAGGGTCACAGTCATTCAATTTCCCTTTTTCATTTAAGTCAAACAAACATCATCATACTGTATATTTTCTTAAGAGATGACAAACCACATAACTAAAACAGATTATACACAGACCTTTTCTTTTCTGTGTGGTATCAAGCTGCTTTTATCAGTGAAATCCCCCTCTTTCTTTGGAGCTCTGCTAAACAGGCACTTAAATATACACTTCTCTAAAGACAAGGAGCAGTTTGAGCATTTACATAGCATTTATTGTATGATACTTGAGCACTGACTTCCTTGTGACCCTACTTGAGAAGCAGTTGTGAAGGTAATGATGATTACACAGCAATGTCAACTGTCTGGGCCCAGCACTTGATGATGTGTAATCCAAACTCTCACGCAACACAGTACTTTCTTTCTGGGGAGGTGATAATTTACTGGAGAGGAAGCCTGGAGTGCAAGAATATCCTCTCAGTATATGTGGAGGGGCTGTGAGCGGGCCTGCACACACTGATGTATCTAGCACAGATGCTGAATGTGGGCTCGGCTGCAACCGGTTTGGGAATGTAGGCTACGGGGGAACACATGGCAGGGCAAAGGTAGCAGCCAACCCAGGGGAGGCAGGCAGATGGGCCTATATTAGACATCTCAGAGAGCTCTAGCTTCTCCCTGGACACAGCCCAACACTGTCAGGTCAGAGAGTGAAGCATCAGCCTCTGCAGATCCAGGTGGCTTCGTGTTTGACCTCATTTCTCCATTCATGTGCAGCCACATGTTCCCGCCCTGCTCTGCACCGCATTGAT